ACGCAGCCTGGTAGGTTTGTGAGCTCTGCTGATCAGGAAAGAAGTAGTTTAGCAGGCCGATCGCCCAATCACGTTTGATCAGGCGACCCCGTTTCCCGCTTCCAGAACCTGGCCTGACCATTGCATAACGCAGGCTCGTTTGTATCTCTCGCAATTGCGAGAGAGTCAAAAAGATGCACGACTTGAGTCCTGCTTTCAGGATATTTTCACCTGGCCCTTCCTGCCACAAAACGCAGCCAAAGTGCTTTATGGAAGCAGGCACTTGGTAAGGGTGCAAGATGCTCACGGGCAAACACCTCCAACCCGCACTGTCATCGTCCACTACCCGGTCATTGAATATCCAGTACGGGGTTCGTGAGGACGGCTCTGGATCAATGATCCAGAATACCTGAAGTCCAAGTGTCAAATTTAATTATCAAATGATTAACTGTCAATATCAAAAGTATGTTCAGCCGGCAGTGGCAAGTTGGCAAGTAATTAAGTTTGACTCGACCAACAAAGTAACAAAGTTTTGGTCGGAATGACATAATTTATGACACTTATGGAGACGTATACCAGAAATGACAGAGTGACAGTAGTGCACAAATTGCTCTACTGACTGGCATGCTGGCACGCTACGTCAGTCATTGTTTCGACCTTCTTCAACCTGATGCCGAGCACTGAGCATGATCTGAAGCCCAAAGACAAGTAAACATTGCCCGTCTTGACGTTCTGGTAGACCTTGCCCTTCATCAACAAACATCCTGAGGTAACATTGAGACTGAGAGTGAGTCACTCTCACTCAGTGAGTCACTGACTGAACTTCACAAAAAAATAAACCGTACAATAAAAACAATAAAGCGTTCGGCCTTTTTTGATTCAAGAATCCCGCCCAGCATTTAGCAGCACTTGCAAAGTCACTGGATGCATGGTGAAGAAACCAGGCAGTCGAGGCAGAAGACTTCTGCTTTGAAATTGTGCCAGCTTTGCGAAAGGAACTGAGCTTCTTGTCTTTCAATGCCTTGCTGATGAAATCTGGCAGTGGTGCATCTGTACTCTTGAAAGACTTGCCACTATCAAGCATGCTTTTTTTAAGCTGCTCATGATCTCCCAGCTCAGTGTCCAGTTGAGGCCAGCCAAACAAGTCATCTGGACGCAGGCTTGGCATTGTTCGGCTGTAGAAGTAGCGAACCCACCTTACTGGTGAAATTGAGGGCTAGTATGCACATGATTCAGAATTGTCAACATCATGGGGTCAGTCCTAATTTCACCTTAGCCTCAAAAATTACAGAGTAATGTTCATCGAGCTGCTTGTTCATAGGGTTGCTCAAGCTCGACAATCGGCAGACGCTCACAAGATGTGCAAAGACATCCTCAAGATCGAACTTGGTGGTTGGAGGAGATGAAAACATTCGCTCGACCAACTTGCGTAGATCACCACCATTCTCCACCTTCCAGTCACAGTCATTTGCAACCAGGTACAACTCACGAGCCAGTTGCATCCTGTTCCACCCAACTTCTGACAACATGCGACTGATCAGCTTCTTCATCGGCTGTTTTTCCACGGCCTCTGCTTTGAACACTGCTTGGAACATTAGCTTGATGTACTGCAGCCTGGTGTTTGCAGCATCGTGCTCAGAGCTTGCAATGCTTGCAAAGGCTTGTGGGACGGAAGTGACGAAAAACATCTGGTTCCATGCACGATCAGCTGCCACTTCAGTAAGCAAGCAAAACAAGCTATCCAATGTGTTTCTCTCATCCTGAAACCACTGAGGCACGTCCTGGCAATCATCCTTGGCAAAGACAGTTGCCAGTTTAGCCTCATCGTCGGAAGGCGCTGAGAACACACTGACACTCATGCGGTCAATAGCCTCCATGTCGTGAAGAACTTTGAACGATTCAAGGATTGTCTGAAACCAGGCGCCACTTGCTCGATCTGCTTGCATCTTCACAGCAGATGCCTGACTGAGCAGTCTGACAAACTGCCGACAGACTTGACTGACAGCTGACAGACAGTCGGTAATGAGAAAGTACACTGACCATTAAATCTATTCTAATTTAATTGATTTAAAAAAACCGAGTCGTGACTCTCTGACTCACTGATTATCCATCCACCCAATTTAAACCAGTCAGTCAGTCAATAATCCATAACGGAGTTTCATATCTTCCCATGCCTGTGACAATCTGGCTTGGCGTAGCGTGTCTTCATACTCAATCATGTAGGGCCTGCAGGCAGCTGCGACTAGCCTGAACTCGTCCTGAAGGCTTCTGTCATGATACAAATGCGCCACCAACCGGACAGTGTTATCGTACTTTGCACGAAGCTCCTGGAGTTCTTTCTTGGTCTGTGGTTTGCTGCTCTCGGGACGAGCAGAAGCTGCACCATGATCTGAAGCTGGGTCTTTCTTGGTCTGTGGTTTGCTGCTCTGGGGACGAGCAGAAGCTGCAGCATCATCTGAAGCTGGGTCCTTGTTGTCTTCGTTCTCTTCATTCTCGTCACCATCCCCGTTGTCATTGTCACCAGGATCTTCTCCAGCTGAAGACGCATCATCATTGGTATCACCGGCAAAGACATCATCTTCCTTACAGTACAGCAAATGACAATCCGATCACGGAATAAAATCACTGAGACTTTCACCAAAAACCACAACTACGGGCACATCATTTGGTTGAATTCTGCATCGCATCGAGTCAAGCAAAAAAAACAACTATGAGTATTCAATTCCTTGGCAAGCTTAGCTTCAAATCCCAATTCCAAACACCAATCAAGGACCATACTCATCAGGCTCCAGTGGTTGCAAAGATGGTCCATCACGGCGATGCTTGTAAACCAAGACTTTGTCTTCACCTGTCAGTTAGTCCACAGTCCTATCATGTCCTGTCACTCGGTCGTTTGTGTACGTTTCACTCAATGTCACTGATAAGACAGACGAGTCTGTCAAATGGCATTGCAGTACGTTGCAGGCGGGCAACACAGTATACGATTTGCAATTGCAATATTATTAATTAACATTACAATAATAATGCAAACAAAAACAATAGTTGCAGACAAACGACCTGCACTGGCAAGTTCCGTATCACTGGCAAGCCCGGAAGATCAGCGGGACACTCAGGGAAATCATCTGGCAATGTATCGGGATCCTGCTCAGCATCGATACGCCTATCTCTGCAAATTGCTTCCTGTAGTGATTCAAAGTCTTCCTGCGATATGTTGTTGGATAGGTCTTCAGCAGCTTCCTCGAAGGATTGCCTGTTCTTTCCAGAAGCATATGGTCCGTGTGCACAGTTCGACATCGTGAGGGATAATAATGTTGTATGCTGTAGCCCTGCCCGACGAACCCCATTACGGACCGAGTTCCACAAACGATCTGGCCAGCACCATGTGGTCCTGGAGGTGTTGCTGGCGCCGCTGTTCCTGGTTTGGCTGGTTCGCCACCAGGCCCATCAAGGTCAGGCAAATCTCCCAGCCCGGCTTCAGCCTGGGCAGCCTCTTCCTTGCTCGCCTGAAAAAAGCTCACCGCCCATTTCTTCTCCCCTTTCTCATTGCTGACAAATGGGATGCCCTTCGCAGTCTTATCCAGCTTCCACGTCCCAGCCGGCATAGTCTTGACAACACCCTGGCTTTCAATCATGGTGGCTCCATCGCCTTGGATTTCAGGAGTTGACAGGGCAATCAAATCAATCTGCAACAGTGTCAGTCAGTCTGCGCTGACTTGAGCATTGAACAGTAAGGACCGACAAACAGATTAGCATAGAAATACTCGTTTTGCTGAATCAACACCAAAAGACTGAGGTGCAAAAGCTTGAACGTCAGGTTCCTGGACAAGTCCACCTCCACCTTGGCCACGAGTTCGTTGAATGAACAGCTCGACATCGGACACTGCAGCCGGATGTACTCGTTTTTCATGCCAGCTTTGAGGGCTTCCAAGTCGAACCTTAATAATCAACAATCCGCTGATGATGAACATTCAGGAAACTAATACAATTTAGTTTGACAAGAATCACACAAAAACTACTTTTTATTATTACTGATCAAGCAACGTGTCCAGTGAACTCAATGGGCTCACCCTAAACATCCCTGTGAACGCCAAACGGACAACGCGAGAGGAGAGCTTGTTGGTGAAGACACGTGAAGCCTTGACGGGCTCGCAGTGCTCCATGATAATCTTCAAGTAAGTATCCTCAAGGGGAACCCGCAAACATTCAGGCTGGCAATAACTATAAACCTATTCATCACAATGAAAAAACAAATTGTTTTGTGTGAAACCTTTTGTGCAAAAAGAAGATTCCGGTGTTTTCTGCCAAGATGTAAAGGAAGATGAGAGGGTCTTCACCTCGCTCTTCTTGCTGCGAGCAGGCTTGGTCGTAGTATTGGCTTTCGCCTTCGCCTTCCCTTGGCTCCTTGCAGAACGCCCAGCTTCACTTGGTTCAGGGGTGTCTCCCTCATGAGGCACCACTGAATCGAATGCTGCCGCGCCACCCTCCCACATAGGAGTCAGCTCGCTCATGATGCTTTGCAGCAAAGTCGAATTGGAACACCAACGCAAAGTCACTTGAACAACAGGCTGGTGCAATACATTAGGTCTGACAAGTGAGTGACAACTCAGTCGACAGTGAGTGAGTCCGTCCGACCGTTTGTGAACGTAACATACTGTAAACATTATCATGTGAATCTGATTCCCAGTGTCAGTGTTAGTGTTATTGGAACAATCTGCTGGCTGCTGCACTGCTAGTGTAGCAATCGGACACGTCAAAGGCAGGTTTTTATCCTCGGACCTATGATCTTTACAACGTTGTGAATGAACACCATTAACGTTGCCAGTCTTCCAATCTGAGCAGTTGTTACAATCAATCACAGACTTATTATTTTTAATGAGTCAATGAATGAAGTCATAAGTCTTTCTGACAGTCTGACAGACTCGGACTGGCAGTGAACCAAGTAAAGCTAGCCTGCTTGATACCTCAGTCATTGAGTCAGAGTTCAGGACGACGAGGACCTGCTGCTGTGCATCATCTGCTCACTAGGATGGTCCGAAGCACGCCAAAGTCAGCAACTGCATGATCCCGCAGGTCTGAAAATGCATGCTGTTGCCACAGATGTCACTTGCTCGCTGCACATCGACTGCTCCAATTGGGGGCACTTGCATTGAAGCTGCCACTTCGCTTGTCGTGGGGAAGCCTAAGGCCGTGAGCCTTTCCTTGGCCGTTAGCCACCGGCCTCTGGCCGGAAGCCAATATTTTCCCGTCCTCGAATTGAGCCTAAACGTAGGTATCTTCCCTGACACTGCCGACCAGGACTGGTAGTCAGCGGAGTCGCCTAAAAAATAGACGAGATTCTCCTGTAATGATGGGTCAGCGCCATATCGCACCAAGTATTTCTGGTTGAGGCTGTCCAATGTCACTCGCTCCCTGGTGTTCAATAAATATTCCAACGGTGTTTCACCAGGCTTGAATGAGTCCAGGCCACGATCCAGTGCCAGCTGTGCCGCTTCCATTTTGATCTCGGTGTCACTGGCCACTAAATAGTGGTTGACCTGCGTTGAAATGTCAGAGTCTCTGAAGCGGGCGACGATGTCATTGTATACATCAAACGGGTCGCTCTGCCACGAGGTTGACTCACGCTGAGCCCCCATCAGCCACGTCCTGTACCGGGCCGTGCCACCAAATCCGAAATCGGACGGTTCTGAGAAAAGCTGGTAGAAATCATAGTCCACATGGCAGTCTTCGACCATGCCAAGATCTAAATCCTGGACTGGAAACGATCGACAGTGACAAACCCGAATCGAATGAATCCAAACATTTGATTAATTGTGATTATATTATATTACTCACCAAACCTTTTTTTGAATAACATGTAACACTGGGTCCCGGGGTCCTTCGTACACTCAATGAGCAAAAGGGGCGTACGGTTCACTTTGTGGTAGTGACCGTGTGCCAAATACACAACATTGGTAGGCCCTTCACGTTTCAAACGCTTGCCGGCAGTGGAGAAGTCGGGGCACGGCAGCCCGCTGATGCAGAATTGCGCAGGCTTCCTGATACAGCAGTGTGTGTTGTGCATCAGGCAAGGCGCGCAGGAAGATCCCTGCAAACCCAATTCACGCACTGTCCCCAATTTCTTGGAGAAATCACCTCCATTGACCAGCAACTGCCTATTCTCAAAGATCTGCATCATGTCGCCAAACAGGCAAGTATCTGCAGGATCGTGTCCAGTCACATCCCTTACCCAGAGCGCAGACTCTTGCAGCAATGTTTGGCATCTGTGATCCAAGTCCTGAGAGGCAGTGCAGGCAGCGGGTCGTGATTTTAAACCGTGACAGTGACAGTCTTAGTCTTGACCCTCAGAATCTTGGAAAGAACATAACCCTTCAGCAGTCCCTTCAGCCCGAGTTTCCCACATGAACAAAGTCGGAATATCCATTGTCACGTGACCTGTCTGGTTTACCACATGCTGAAGCACTGCCCGCGACAGCTCAGCTGTACCGCAGCCGCTGCAGAAACTACCAGCGCCAGTGGCCTGTGCCAACCAGCTTTCCTTGGCCATTTGAATTGACAAAGTCAGTCAAATAAACAAACTTACTGTCAGTCAACTCACTCAGGTGCACCAATTACTCATTGCCCCGGTGGTGACCACTTCCAGAACCACAATACACAATTTGACAGTGCATCATCATCCAAGAGTCCTTCAAAATATCAGTAGGAATCATCTCTGTGACAACTTCCCAAGCCACTGCCATCCCATTGGAAGCTCTTGTCAACGGAGTCCAGTCGAAGTCCTGCTTGCTGTTTTGGTTCGGAGTTGCCAGTTACAAACGGAGTCCAGTGACCGGCAAAACTAAATCCTTTGTCATTATTTGGCGTCCCATTGTTTTTAAAAAGAATAACTTTCCACGGTCCTGTCCATGGGCAGAAGACTGTGTAAGCGGAAACTCATCATTCAGACTGGTTTCTGATTGGATCCCTGACAGTGTGGTCGATGAAGTCTGGGCCATGGCTTGCACTACACTGGCCGACTGCTTAGCTGAATGATGTTGTAAACAGATAGCCCAAATCTGAGATTATGCATTTCAGTCAGCGTCTACTACTGGACTTCAGACTAATGAACCATCAGTTCGTTAAAAAGCATTACCTTTTCTTGTTCGAGCCGACTCAATGAATCAATGACCATTCATTGTACTTGAATGGGTCGGCGAGTCAGTCAGTCTCCGAGTCAGTCCCATTCGATGTCGCCCGCCGCTCAGTAGTAGTCTAGTCTAGTAGTAGTAAGACTCCGTCGTTGAGTATATCCGACTAGTCTAGCCAGGTTGCCAAGGGAGGACCATATGCTGCAATGTTGTCGGAAGGGCCTGGGCTGACTGGCAAATTGAACCACGGGGTGATGTAGCCAGTGTTCACAACTCCAATCCAACGACACTCCAATGAATGAGACTGAAGATTGACATCACTGGACGACTAGGGCCTTAGGGTGACGATCATTTCTGTGTATGGTCCATAATTTTAGTTCAAGCGACTGTGAAATTTGTAGGCCTCAATGGGCACCTTCTGAATGGAGCTCCCGTCGAACATTACCTGCATTCAGAATGACAGAATGACCATTCAGACAAGTTGAAGCAGTAAATCCATTTCAATTAGCAACACCCCTGGGTTATTCAGATCGTTTCGTCGCCGCGACCCAGGAATGCAACGTGAAGAGTAACCCTGGCCTGCCTGCATATGGCTGCGGTGACTGAAAGTCTGCTGGCATTTCTTGAGATAGGCGACCTGGATCGATGTGAGTCAGTGACTCCAATGACCTGACCTACTCAAAACATTTATATAAGGCTTTGGATGCTTTTTAAATTGATTTTGACAGACTGACTGACTGCTTCGTCGATCCAGGATTAGATTACCTATTGGCAAAAGTCATTCATGCAAATTGATTGAATTCCGGGCCAGGCCTGCTCCCACTGACACAGATAGGGTGCGTAGATCCTCAGCTTTATGCCTAGCTGGGCCTTGGCAAGTGTAAAGTACCTCAGTGAGTCAGTTCAGTAGGCAATAAATTAAACAGACTGACTTGTCATATCCAGGAACTAACTAATGAATGTGCATTTGTAATGATTCACTTTTTTTGCAGATAGTAAACTAGGAATTCTAATTCATGCCATTCTGCTTGCCATCCAGGACAGCCCGCACCAGGTTGTACTTGTCGTGCGTAGTCAACCGCCGCATTTTGGAGGGTTTTGGCAAGCCAGGAGTAACAAGATCTCGGGCACGACGATCCTGAGGTCTAGTCTAAGTCTAGTAGTAGACTATTTTTATTACTATCATAATTGAGTGACTAAAGCCTGAACAAAGACAGATAGTGTTTCACTCGGGCGTTGATGAATCACAAAGATTTGTTGCTGGAACGACTAACCGTGCAGCTTTGCGACGGCAAAAGCGGCCACTTGCGAAAGTAGGCTGAGCGCTTGCCCCCGCATCTCCTTCCACAGCGGCTTCTTGAAGTTGCGCCTCCTTAGGGAAAATTGGGCACTGGCTGCTAGCCTGGGTTGCGGATTTTAAAAACGGGTGTTGTCACTACACCTGAGTGAGTCAGTCACTAGGAAAATATCCACAAACAGCCTACCGTACCGTACTTACTAGGTAATTGGTTTAATACAGTCCAAGAATCGAATCAATGCAGAAGGCAATGGCATTTGGCAACCCAGCATGCCCTAAAGGTCCGTTGACCCAAGGACGCGTAGGATCCTGGAAGTGGCTGGATGCTTCAGCGGTTGCTGAAACTGTTACTGTCACCCATGACTCTATCACCAACTCACACTGAATCAATGAAAGCGAATATTAATATGTTCCTGCAAGTCATTGTCCCATTCACGCTTCACTTCGGAATGCTTGCTGGGAGGGAAGAAGAAATGCAGTGGGATGTTCGTGGTAGGCTCCAAAGTGATCCACATTTGCAATCCTGAGTTGGAAGCCGGAGTGCACTACAATTCAAGACCTCGCCAACAATAATCACAGTCAAAATTGACGACTCCAGTGGTGAAGAGCAAAGCAAAATTAAAACCACTGTTTGTTGCCATGCACAATGCCAAATTTGACAAAAATAGGAGCTCTGAACGACGTAAACGAGATTCCCAGAGGCCAAACACATATCATAAAATCCCCAAGGCGAACACACAGCTTGAACAGGTTCTCTAGGAAGGTGAACGAACAGGACCTAACCTCTGCTGTAGCTCTCGGCTGCGACAAAGACCACCCGAGGAGCGATAGCATCGCCGAGGTTGGCAATGTTTTGTCGTTGAAGATCGCGGGCCCCTCTGATTCCTGTTGCAGCAATGCAAACCAAATAAAGTTAGACAGCAGTGAGTGGCAAACCTCTTCACTGCATGGCATGCACATTCAACCAACTAGATTCTGAGTCTAACTCAGTTGATGGAATGCAGCCGCAGCCGCCATAAATCAATACAAGGGTCGTATTTGGATCGGATTGGCTGTAGCAGCGGTGGTTGACAGCCCGGCCAGATCAACTTGTGGAACTCCAGCACAGAGCTCAACCGCTCGTTGAGTTTGTTTCCTGAGATGATCAGACTCACGACTATTATTATCTGGCCTAGGTAACGTCGTGTCAACGTCTCTTGAGACCCTGAACCAGTGTTCTGTTTGCCACTCCTGTTGCCCTAAGCTACAACTAACTTGTACGCGTGACTAGATTTTGACGAGTAGTAATTCATGACTAGATTTTGAAGTAGTAAAGTCTTCAAGTTAGTTGTAAGTCGTACGTTGTTTGTGCGCACACAAAATTCATCAAGTCTCTAAATTTTTGATGATCATTCCGAGATCTCCGGGATGGCTCGCAAACATCGAACCGGGAGCAGCACCACAGATCCACAGCGTTCCATTGGGTCTGCCATCCAGGTGACGCAGCAACAAACGCTCGGATTCTCCGAGCTCCATCTAAGTGGAGCTCCCCCTCTTCCAACCAGTCTGTCTCGACTGGCGCTCGATCCATTGCAATGCTGCTGCACCACAGACAGAAGCGAATGAATCAATGCACAAAGCGCACCAATGCATGATTTCTCAACATCACACACTCTCACCAGACTGTTAACTCTAAAAGTTTAGATAGCTTTAGAGCTGGATTTTCACGTGTTTTGTGGTTTTTGTTGATCTCTAAAATTTTAGAGTTGTTTTAGAGTGGTTTAGAGTGGTTTAGAGTTGATATCTAATTCGATCTAAGATTTTAGATGAAGAGGGTCTGTGGCAACAGGGTCTCATCAGACCTTCCTGATGTTTATTCTTTTTGATAGGACTCCAAGGTTTGTCCGTCCAGTTTGGGAGGCACAAGAGGAGCTTAAACTTGCTTGCCTTCGTGGACCAGTTGTTTGAAGGCCAGATTTGTGATCGGATGCTGGTGGTTGCTCATGATGAATGTATATGTAGTGTTCAATGATACATGACATGGTTTGCTTTTCTACCTATTTTGTGGGGTTGAGGCGACGGAACATTGCAGTTGTTCTGTGGGTTCAAGACAAATCCCAAAGATACTATGCGTTAGTGAAAAAACAGGGCCTGAGACTGTACTCCGTTCTACAGTAAGAGACACTGGGGCTTCGCACATGGGATCCAACTTTGCCCCATTCACGCGATATAATTGCATCTGGCCCTTCGCAGGTCCAGACACATGTAAGGAACGGAAATGCTAAGAAGGACGAACAAGGTGCACATCTCAACTTGCAGACGAGAGAGCTTCTTTCTCCTAGTAGTAAGGCCAGGAGCGCCTAGTAGCTTCTTGCTCCTAGGCGCACATCTCAACTTGCAGTCGAGAGCGAAAATAATCCAAGGGGTCTGCACGGGGGGGGGGGTCTCCAAGGGCCCCCCCATGATAATAGTTTGTTCCACATCGGTCTGGTTTTGGGCCAACTGCTTCTCTTTCCATCACGATCAGTGCTAGCAAATACCTCCCAAGGCTGATCTAAACCCACTTAGTTGTACAAATGGCTCGTGCTGCATTGCCTTCTATTTGGATTGCTCTCAGCATCAAGCATCAAGGGAGTCAAAGGGCCAACCTAGCGAGAAATAGAAAGGCAATTGCGGGGAACACTGCAATTTGTGAAAGAATGTACACACACATATATATATATATATATACAGTAATCATACTATGATGTACCTTAGGCTAGTCACTTGTTAAGTCCAAGTGCTTTTCTACACCGTCTTCTTGATGCTAGATGCTGCAAAGCACAACAGATAGTTCTCCAATGGTCAGGTCACCCGACCCTCGGTGGCCACGGTGCTACACCGACGGTACGGAGCGACGGAGCCGAGGCGACAACCTTCAGCAAAAGGATGTGGCACATGACATCGCGGCTTCGGCGATCACACAGAATGCCTTGGCCTCTGGTGAGGTGGTGTCCCTTGGAAGGGTGGAGTCAGCAGTTCAAGGGGGAGAGACCCAGTAGAAGACTCATGGATAAGATCATTTCTTTGGGGGGTCCCATGTACTGCAGCCTTGTAACTGAATTTTCGATGGAGGGAACTAGAGTTCCTCGAAAACAAAGACAA